TAAATTACCATCTGCTTCCTGATACTTCCTGACCTTGACATGCTGGCTTTATATCAGTTACATCTCCCAAAATAAAATGACAGCCTGCATTTTCACTTTTGGCAAGAAGGGCTGCACGGCTGCATCTACACCAGATGAAGATCGTTTCATATGACTGGAGGAAGTGCCACTTGCTTATTTTCCCCATTGTGATGATGGTGAGGTTGAATTGTTCGCTTGTCTTCCTTGCTGTACACGCTCCTGTCAATTTTTATTCTTCCAGCTCTGCTGTTCAGAACGCTGCAATGAAGACATCACTGATTCAAGTAGAGTTATTTTAGTTTGTTAAACAGTGAGAGGAACAAAATGTCTACGAAGACCAAGGAAGCCAACACATTCAGCTTCGTAAAGCATGTTGTCAACAGTCCAAAAATAAAGATAAAACGGTTAGCAAATGTGAAAACAACTTAAACAGAACACTGTTAAGCAGAAAAACTGTGCAATAAATAACCATGCCAAAAGCATAGACAAAAAAAGTTTTGAGTGAGGAAAAGAAGGGCTCATTTCTACATTTCTACTATTTCATTTAGCAGATGCTTTTATCCAACGCAACGTACATCTGAGAGCAGATACAAGACAAGCAAGGATCTAGTCAGGAGAGAACAATCTAGATAAGTGCCATGCCAGTAGCAGGCTGTGTGGAAGTAATAGGATTTTGTTTGTTTGTTTGTTTGTTTGTTTTCAGTCTGTCAAGTGCAGAGGTGTTTAGTGAAGAGCTGGTCTTTAGTCTTTTCCTAAAGACTGAGATGGAGTCAGCAGACTGAGCAGAGTTTGGTAACTCGTTCCACCACCGTGGAACCACAGAGGAGAAGAGTCCAGCTATCGACCTCGGGCCTGTTGTGGTGGTTGTATCAGGAGGTTTTTGTTGGTCGAGCTTAGTGAGCAGGAAGGAGTGAGAGAGTTCAGGTAGGAGGGAGCTGTTGTTATTGTAGTTTTGTAAGCAATCGTCAGGGTTTTGAATTTGATGCGGGCAGCAACTGTAAGCCAGTGAAGCGATCTGACCAGCTGGGTGACGTGTGCTGTTTTTGGCTGGTTGAAAACCAGACGTGCTGCATTCTGTATCGTCTGCAGAGGTTTGACTGTGGATGCGGGGAGGCCTGCTAGTAAGGAGTTGCAGTAGTCAGTGTAGATCACTAATGTTATTATTGTTTTGGAGGCCTTGTTGGGACTGGTAATTACTGGTTTACCAATGTGAAAAAAAAGACTTTCGATACTGTGATGAAGGTTGTGATGAAATGATTCCACTGCTGGCTGGTTAGTGTTCACCTCCTATCATGTGAATATTGAGTATTATTATACATTCAGTTAGTATTGTCCAGACTGAGTGGCTAGTTCTTTGCTCACCGTGTGTTGAAACATGGCCAACAAACTGAACAACACCATGAAACATCAGAAAGAGGACCACGGTCCATTTACTTTTCCTTTCTGCATCTTCTTCACGGTTTAATAGCACCGAACACTCCTGCAAAAAGTTAATGAAACCAGTCAAAGCTCTTACTTTGCAGTGTCAGTTTGGACGCTTTGTAGTGATGAAGGCTGGACAGCAAGGCCCCGAAAAGGCCTGTTTTCATCTGCCCTGGAGCACAATGTTTAGTTGGTAGATAGTCGTGAGATAGGAGCCTGCCGGAACTGCCATAGCAAACAAAACCGTGCCTTCAGGACGGAGAGGGCTGCAGGTTGGTACACATGACAGCGAGCATGATCGACCTGTGTACAGTAAAGGAACTGAGAAATCTGCGCATTTTCCTCTTTAAACCCTAAATAACAAAGCCGGTTAAAAAATATATATTTTAAAATTCTTGTCAGCGCAGACAGTTTTACTTTGGCATGGGCTAAACCGTCTTTGGGAGGGTTCCATAAAGCTCAAAGTGCTTCTATGCAGGAAAACCCTGCTTTTGTAAACCTTTTCCCCCATAATACACACGGAGGAATAACCGAGGAAAGAAAGTGAAATTAAATCCTAACTAGTCTAACAGAAGCAAACTCAAATACTGCAACACAACCACAAGGCAGAATCACACAAATTACACGGAATTACAGAAATACAAGCAGAGTTAATAATAATAGTAATACTAGGACTAGCATTAACTGGGTTACTCATGGGGTCAGCGGTAAATCAAATTACCAAACAAGTAGTGGTGGGGGATTGGGGTCCAGTGAGGCGAGCAGGATCTGCAGAGGCTGGAGGAGGGATCCCCGGGTGGGTGTGGCTGTATGTGGAGCAGTCGGCTGGATAATGACCCAGGCAGGCGACGGGGCGAGGGACCGGTCGGGAAATGAGTAAACAGAGTTAACTGAGTCTGCGGTCTGGCGAGAGCAAAGGAATGAGCTGGTGAAGGCGTCGATTGTGATCAGGTGATCAGGTGGTCTTCGATGAAACACAGCCGGAGGGAAAGCAAGAGAGAGAGCCAAAGGGAAAAGAGGAAGAGAAGAGGGAGAGAGCAGGAGAGGGAAAGAGGAAGAGAGGGCTGGGCTGAGGTCACCTGACACCCAAACACTGCACGGTTCAGTGTTTTTATTTTCCCCACCAGACATCATCGGTCAGATCACAGTACAGGTACAACCCAAGTCATCTGCAGTGTTTCTGGCCAGTGTTCACAAACATGGGAGGGAATAATGGCACATTAACCTCCCTGATTAAGCTGAAAACGGCAGAGAGAAGAATTGTGTGTGGCCTACCTCACTGGTTATTCCTCCCTGGTTGTATTATTGAGTTTCTTCTTTTGTAATAAATTTCTGTTTATTTGAAGCGGTTCCTGTCTGATCCTCTGACACGATGAGGCTCTGCAGAAAACATGTTCTCCAACATGTGAACTTACAAAACAAAATGTGGCCATAACGTTTATTTTCTCATGAAGTGATCTCCTGTTAGTGTTGACCTGTCTGTCACTTTATCCCCAAAGAGTCCCGGCAGATTTAGATGGGCAAGTTCTAACTTTAGGCTAGTTTTGACTAATGGAATTTACCAACAATACCAGGGTAATTCAGAAAGGTCTCTGCCTCACTTTAAACCTCCAGATACTCCTCAACAGCATGAATTGATTTCATCATCATCACTGAAAATGGCAAAAAAGCAAGCAGGATTTCAGTTTGGGAAACAGAAGTTAGATGGTAGGGTGAGTCAGCCACATTTGGCTGCTTCTGCCACTAGCTGTGCTGTGTGGACGGACTCACGTCCTAGGACGGCAGACCAGGCCAAACATTTCCTCACTTATCTTCCTTTGATTGTTTCAAACATTTGAGTTTTTGTAGACAGTGTTATAAGGCTTTGAAGTATACAGTAATGCCCCAAAATAAGAGTTACGCCCATTGTTTCTGGGTGGGGCTGAGAGCTACCACTGTACGTCTACCACATGCAGCTTTTCATAGTCACGTTTATTAAATCATATATGTGTATATATATATATCATAGTGCTGCACACTATACAAAGAGTTGATTTACTTTGCAGCTCAGCTTTGTACCTGAATTCCCTGAAAAATGAACAATGAATAAATCTGGACTTCTTGGTAGTATTTTAAATCCACACCATTTATGCATCATGTGTTCTTTTTAAACATTGACGTAATTGTGGCTGTTTTTGAATAAACTTAACTGGAAGTCACCGCCGACGTGATTCATTACGCAGTGACGAAGAGAAGAATTAAATTCAGTTCTGTAGAAATCTTGTAGAACGAGGAACCTACGTGCTCACTGTCTGCTGAACTCCACAAACAAGAACTGGTGATAATGTGATCTAATCGCTGACGACTGCATCAGTCTGTGTGCCAATGAAAAATGTGAATTGTCATAACTGAGTGGGACCAACAGGTGGTTTCTGTTTTACTGTCTTTGCTTTTCTCCACGCCACCTGTCAAAGCCAATTTGCAAAACAGATTCATTCTTAAGAAAAAAAGGAGAACATAAAGTGATCTGAGCTTTTGTTCTAGTGTTTAGAAATGAATGTTGGTTTCATTGGTGGCTTATTTAAACACTTTGCTTGATCACTGGATGGACTTGGAGTAGGAATACCGTTGGATTGTAACTGGAGACAAAGATCTGATGAGGATCAGATACGTGCTTACTGTGTGTGACGTTGTGACTTTTTACTATTTTTCTATTGTTTTGTTTTTCTTTCATAATGTCTTATTTTTATTGCGCAGCCTTGAGGAACAATCACTTTGCATTTCACTACACGTACTGTATGACAGTTTACTAAATGAAAACTCTTGAATCAGCTCAGAGTTGAGGATGTATTGCTTCCAGCCATTAACTCCTCAGTTAGCAGCAGCACTTGAGAATTTTCTGGCCTCATCACTCTGGAATGAGCAGAATCTGAACCACGTCTTGTTCTGCCTGTTTAGCTAAAAGCTCAAAGAAAAAGAGTTGGAGCGTGAAGACCTTAACGTCCCTCCACTGTGCTCTGACCCTCATCCATCTTTTCACTATACCTTTGTCCCTTGCAGTGAGTCTGATCTCACACGTCTGACATCAACCTAGGAGGCCTATTGTGGTGCAGCTTTATTTGCTTTGTTCATAACCGTCCATTTGAGGGCATTTATACTTGGAAAGACCTGGCTTGTCCAATCACAATCTGAAAGCTTTGTGATCAACGGGATATAAACAACATGTTTAGTTTTACTCTCTGTTCTTCCTGCCCGATCAAAAGCTCCAGATCAAGTGATGGAAAACATCAGGTTGTTGCTCATTCTCCTTTTTGATGCTGGGTCTTAGGATCTCAGGTGTTTTAATACCCTGTGATTCAAACCCAGCTTTCCAGCAGTGTTTGGGTTTGAATTTGCACAAGCAGTGGGAAAGAACATGTGCCCCGATTTGACCACTCAGGATCCAAACAAGCAGCACTCAGGTTGCTGATGCACACCCATTACTGAACAAAGCAGTCACTCCTGTTGTCTTCTCTGGGTCTTGTTGTCCTACCTTGTATTTGCATTAGTAGTAACAGTCTGTACTCTTTGTGTTGCAGTGCAGGGTACAGAAAACGTGACCGCCTTGTATGGATCGACCATCGTTATACCATGCAACGGTGGAGCTCCAGCACCAGAGGATCTGATGTTCATCAAGTGGAAATATGTAAGTAGATCCTGACTGTTAACACTGTCAATGAGAAGTTTCAGGTGAACTGAACTCCTGCTTTCAAAGAAGTAGAGGACCGTATGAACGGATTTGAACATCCATTTATATTCTTCCTGGAAGGATGTGGAAAACTGAAGATATCTGTACATTTTGAAATGACAGATTTTGCATTTGTAAGATTGTGGTTTTTTTTTATTGGTCTGTCTGTCTGTCTGTCTGTCTGTCTGCTACATAGCTGCTATGTAAAGAAGCTCATCTGCTAGAAATGTGATGAAGTGTTTTGCTAGGTAGATCATTTGACCAGCAAGTGTTCAACTGTAACTGGACTAAAACAAATCTTACCTCAAGGTGTTTATTCAAGCTACAAGTAAATATTTTAACAGACGACAGACACGGACAGTGTGTACCTACTTGACATTCGTTTTTCGTGGTTTTACCAGTGAACGGTCCTCCTCTTTGGATTATATGTGAATGACAGGTTTCAAAGATCTGTATATTTTTGTACATGTCTGTTAAAGCAAACAGTCATTTGGTTTGGCAGGCTTTACACAATCTCGCACCTGACTATGTTTGCTGTTTCCTCCCTGTGTCATCTGACACTTTAGGAAACAAGTGACAATTCTGGCGATCTTTTGATCAAACAAACTCGCAACGATCAAGCCACCATTCAGGCCACAGACGATTATGCCAAGCGGATCAGCCTTGATGACAAGTACAGCCTGCTCATCACCGACGCCTCACTTAAAGACCAGAAGACCTTCACCTGCCTGGTGGTGTCAGACAACGATCTCTTGGAATGTCCCGTCTCTGTCATTGTTTACAGTAAGCATAAACATGTACAAAAGTTTTTACATAAAATTACATACATATATATATATGTGTGGGTACAATATTTGTGTGTTTCTTTACTGCACCCCAGAATTCAGTAGATAAGTTGAGAAATTATTGACAATGTGAAGAAAAGAAAGAAAGAAAATAAAGAAATATAAAAAGCTTCTTGGAATTTGTCTCCAAGCCAAACTCTGACTCTGTCTTTCCGTGTTTGTAGAGAAACCATCATCAGTTCAGGTTATGGATAAGCCCGAAGCGTTGCAGAAGGACAAACTAACAACGGTAAGATCTCTACAGTTTTTACACTTTAGTGTTTTGTAGTGGTGTGAAGTGCAAAGCTGTCTCACTGAGCCACACCAATGTGTTTCTGGTCTGAAGTGAAATCTGCATGACACCGTCAGCGTCGTGTACTGAATGTAAACATTCATCCGCTCAGGGATCTGCTGTTTGTCTGTTTGACTGAGCTCATGATGAGTGACTGTTGTGGACACATGCTGTTGTAGTGAATACCCCTCCACACGTGACATGAAACGCGGATGAGTGATGCACCAGTTATCACTGGGTCCATGACTGGGGAAAACAGGAAGCTGACATGTCGGATAATTTGCTCAGTCCAAGCAGCCTGAAGCATTAGAGGAGGTTGAAATAGTTAAAAAAAATAAAAGGGGATCTGCCTCGACCAGTTCAGGCGAGAGTGGGGACGAAGGGGTTGGGAGAGTGGTTGGAGTAAGGCTAGCAGGATAGCAGACAGAACACAGACAACAATATAAACTGAATAATGAACATTTTGGAGGTGGGTGAAGCCAGAAACTGCAGATCAGAGACGTGAAGCTCCAGATCAGAGACGTGAAGCTCCGGATCAGAGACGTCCACAGAGAGAACAAACACAGGACCTCGGGGGAAACACAGAGTTAGTGACATGAAATGGTGGTTATAACTGTATGGAAGAGAGGAGAGGAGCCCAGTGCATCATGGGAATCTCCTGGCAGTCTAAAGCTATAGCAGCATAACTAAGGGACAGTTCAGGTGATCCTGAGCAGTGAAAACAGTTCAGGCAGTTGGAAGTCTGCAGAAGAGGGAAGGTCTCTCTGTTTCTCCTAAATCTCGGTTTACCAGAAGGATTTATGACGTCACAACTAACTTTGAAACATGAAACTTCCAGAGAAGCTACACTGAGAAGTGGAGTCTGACACATTTTGTGTAACGTATATATGCTTCAAAGTTTACCAGTGTTGGCAAATTCAGAGATCCTGGATTTGTCAAAGGGGAAGAAAAGTAGTCATTTAAAGTTTATAGCCAAGATGCGGTGGGTTCCTTCAGCACAGACACACCCAGTCTTTATTAGTATCAACCACACACATCATTGACATTTTTGCTGTTTTCTCTGTGTCATTCTGCTCAGCTCTGCTGAAGCGTGACAATGTACAACAGCTGTGCCAATCAATTCACCCTGCCCCACCCCCACCCCCCGCCAATATGTCGGTCCTAAACGATTCATGTAAGAATAAAAATGTGTGAAGGGAACTTTAAATAAAAACACACGTACAGTATGCATACATCAGTAAATTGATAAATCTACTAATAAGGGCTGCTGTGACTACATGACTGTGTGACTGTTGTATTTACTGCCAGGAGACGTCTTTGTGGTGAGTCACGTGAATTCAGAGGTGCGGGCTGTAGTACAGGATATGAAACCATGGGAAAAGGAATGTTCTTATGACTCACTTCTTATCTGGTTCACACACAGCATATCTCTGCTACGGTTGGTGACCTTCAGTCCTGAAGACGTAATGAGACAGGGAGACAACGTGCATTTGAAACAAAATCTAATTCATTCCTGAATAAAGGACTTGTTTGTCTGTTCTGGCAACCATCCAACATTCTTCTGTTTTTGTTATATTGCATTATACAACTCTAGGGAAGGGAAAATAAGGTTTCACTGTAATCAGTGTTATAACGAAGGTACCAGCAGCAGGTATTTGGTCAAATTATTTGTCCAGTGCTTTATTCACAATTATTCTTTTGAGAGAGAATAGCCAGTGACATTTCTTTGGCGCTACCATTCACTTTTAAAACACAAGATAAAGTTGAACTGATGTTTATTTTAGTTAACCTTTATTTTACCAGGTAAGTTAGTTGAGAACTGGTTCTCATTTTCAACAACGACCTGGTCAAGAGGCGTCACACAAACCAGACGAACAGCATAAACAGATTATATGTACAGCAACAATATTACAAAACAAATTAAGCAAAGACTTGTAAAATAGAGAGGCTAAAAACAGGTGCAGCTCAGGGGCATAAACAAACACTTTAATATTGTACAGATAAAACATGTCCTGCTTTCTCACGTATCACCAACCGATACCATAATCACTGGATGCTTTTCAAGTTCTATGTGTGTTGCCCTCTAAGGGATTTTATGATGAGCACTCCGCTTATTGGATCTGACAGACAACTGAGCTTGGTCAACGCCCCTGTGCAGGGCAGCCCAGGGCAGCTGCAGGGCACAGTGTGAGAAGGTGCCCCTCCTAGCTGCTGGTATGAGGAAGAGGAAAAAAACACTCTTCCAAAGCACTCTAGATTAAACAGAGGATGCCATAACTTTTTGGTGGTAGGCCCGGTTAGGCCGTATTACCACTACAAATCCTTCCACGTTGTTCGTCATGCGGGAGAAATACACTGACAGTGCACAGATGTCCCCACCCCTCTTTGCAGTGATGATCACCAGCTCTTAACTGACACCAGTACCAAGCTTGTCTACTTCAGCCGCTCAAACTGTGAGCCTCAGAGATGATCGAACACTGTCTGCAGGTCCCAGTGGGGAACAAACCAAGCTTGTCCGCCACCTTGCAGTGCACAGGAGAGCAGATCTTGCTCTCACACCAGCCAGTAAAAACACACTGTTGCATGCAGCCTTGCAGTAGAAGGTCATAAATATTCAAGTACTTAAAAGACTGATTCTCTAGTTTAGGGAACTTGTTTCATTAAATTATTCTGTGTTGCAGCAGTACAAGAAACAGCTTTGTGACTACGCAGGCTTTGTTTTGACAGTTTGATTGCTTTTCTGTTTTGTTCAGGTGGGAACATGCGTTTCTTCAGATGCGCACCCTGCAGCTACTATCACGTGGAAGAAGAATGGACAACCCTTGTTGGCCAGTGAGAAAGGTATGTATGAGTAGATGTGAACGATGAGTGTATAAACAAGTGTATTCAGAATCAGAATCAGCTTTAATGGCCAACAACATACAAGGAACATACAAGGAACATACAAGGAGCCAGTAGTCATTCAGTCCTGTGATGGAGGGTTTCTTGGGAACCGGTATGACTGTGGAGTGTTTGAAAGTAGAGGGGACTTCACATTGCTCCAGGGACCTGTTAGAGATCCTGGTGAAGATTGGAGCCAGCTGGTCAGCACAGGCTTTCAGACAGGAGGGTGACACTCCGTCTGGGCCTGGTGCTTTCCTGATTTTCTGCCTCTGGAACAGGCGGCTCACTTCCTCTTCACGCATTGTGCAGTCTGGGGTGTGACAGGGGTTTGTGGTGTGGTTGTGTTGTGGATGAGAGGTGGGCTGTGGAGGGTGAGGGGTGTGAATGTGTCCCTCTCAAACCTGCAGTAGAAGGAGCTGAGGTTGTTGGCCAGATTTTTATTTGCCACAACAGGGGGGGATGGTCTCCTGTAGTTGGTGATGTATTGAAGGCCTCTCCACACTGAAGCAGGGTCGTTAGCTAAGAACCAGTTATCAGCTTCTCCCCTTGTCCACCAAACCAGTTCCAGGGCTAGTTCCGTGCTAGTGCCTGACTTAGCACCAGTTCTTTGTGTTTCCACCGCCCAAGCATTGGCTCCAGGCTCTCAAAACTGGTGCTTAACTGAATTTAAATGAAGGAAATTACAGGTCATCCAGGCCTTCATGTCCTTCAGACATGCCTGAAGTTTGACCAACTGATTGGTTTCATTTGGCTTCATAGATAAATAGAACTGGGTGTTGTCTGCATAACAGGGGAAATGTAGGCAGTGCTTCCTGATAATATTGCCTAAGAGGAGCATATACAAGTTAAATAATATTGGTCCTAACACAGAACCCTGTGGAACTCCATAATTTTCTGGACTAGTTTTATACAAAAAAAAATGCTCACCTGGTTTTGCAGCCAAACTGCTAATGCTACACCTTAATGTAATGTGTCTGTCAATCCAGCTGTGATCACCCCCAGCCTTAAGCTGGACCCAGCCACGGGCCTGTCCACTACCTCCTCCACCCTCCAGTATGCAGCCACGAAGCAGGACGTTGGTGCAATCTTTGCCTGCGTTTCCACATACAAGCAGACCGATGAAGAACTTGAGATGGAACCTTTGTCTGTTCACTGTAAGTGGAATGCAGTTTCATATTTCTAGTTAGAGACAACCAAAAATGTGATAATTCTACTCTGTTAATTATTGAAGTCATTGTAGGTTTTAGTGATGTACTAGACTGCATTGCATTTATGAGTTTTTCTAGTATTTTTTCTACATGCATGAGAGGGGGGCGTTTAATCAAAATATTTAAAACTCAATTGGAATTGAGGATTGCATTCAGCAGCTGTAAAATGCATTGCCATTTGAATAAGATTTTGTGTAAAAGGTAAATTATCTGTCAATGGAAGGTGCCTTCCATTCCAACCATTCATGTTTCCGCTTCTCTTTTCCCTTAATTACTCACTGAACCTCTCAGATCCCTCAGAGAAGATTAGCCTCCAAGTTATGTCCAAGGGGCCTGTCGTAGAAGGTGATAATGTTACATTGAAGTGTCATGCTGACGGCAACCCTCCACCCAGCTCCTTCTTCTTCCACGTCATGGTGAGTCAGTGCCTAGTGTGTATCCTCAAGTAGCTTACTGCTGTCTGCTCTGGAATAACAGCAGTGCTAAGCCTAGGGTGCAGTGACAGTGTCCTTGCCCCTGCCTTTAACATATTGGAATGGGTTTTTAAAAGCCCTGCCAATCTCGCTGTATCTGTATCTCTTTAATCTGCATTTAAAAAAAAAAAAAAGGGGGTTTCGTCTACTCAGCTTGTAAGTCAATATTTCAGTTTTCCTTCTTTCTTCTTTTCTCTCTATTTCCTGATAATATAACACAGTGAGAGGAGCTAATACTATCTCTCTCTCTCCCTCTACTTCCTCCTCCTACCAGGGCGAGAAAGTGCTGGTGGAAAATTCAGACACCTACACTTTGACTGCCATCAGCAGAGGGGCTACAGGTGAATACAAGTGCTCCCTGACAGATAACAAAGAAATGGAAGCCTCCCAAAGGATCGTCGTTAGCTGTAAGTGCTCATGACATACACACATCCTAATCATACAGCACCATATCAAAGAAACAAATCACTGCTGCTGCACAGACAGAAACCTCCAACTGTTGTCCTCACTTTGCCAACAAATGACCGCACCCCTGAAACTTCCCCATATTCTTACTATATTTATAGTATAGTACTCTATTTATAGTATGCTATGCTATATATAATAGAGCACCAACTATGAGCTGTAAACCAAGTCATGGGAGCAGAGTTATGGCAATCAAATTTAAACTATGAGAATCCAGCATGGCAGTGTGGAGGAGAACTAATTAGAAATTTCTCATATTGCCTGAGCAACAGTGAGAAAATGAAAAGGCAAGCTGTGTTCTCCTCCTACCATTCATCAGCACTCCCTTAAGTAATTACTCCTGTCTTGTGTATGTTTTTAAGTCTTCAGTTCAAATTGGCCCAATGATTGAAATTAAAAAACAAAAAACTCCGACTCATTCTGACACAACCTTCTGTACGTCTCATATAAAAGATTCACTGCATCTCCCAACTTTAAAACTGAGTTTGTGACTGAGGAAAGAAAACAATAACTGTTCAAATTTGAAATCTCTCAAAGTTAAGGTATTTTTGTGAGTGTATCTTAATGGATCCAGCCCTCCTTGTAAAAGAAAGTCACTGTTTCTCAGGCTTGCTTGCAAATACTGACGTATCTGTCCTGCGTATCTATTTTGCTGTATCAAATTTTCTTCACTTACAGTCGTGAACAAAAGTTTACATACACCTGTAGCTACCATGTCTATCATGGCAGTCTTGAGTTTCTAATGAGTCCTACAGCTCTTAATTTTCTGTGATGGACTAATTGAAACACATGCATCTTTGTCACAACTTACAATCAGTTATTTTGGTTCTTTCGTAGATTTATTATCGGTCTTCTGGAAATGTGACAAAATCTGCTAGGTCAAAAATATACATACAGCAACTTGGATAATCAGTTTTGATGATGTAGAAAGTTGTGTTTGAGTCAAAAAATCTTGGTATGAAATGTCCTACTTGTGAGTGATTAGGATTGACTACAGCTGCTGACTTCTCTAAGTCAATTTAAATAGAGCCCATGTGATACAGTTATTAGACTCATCCACCAATGCTGCAGTGACAAAGTTTAACGAGCTCAGCACAGATCTGAAGAAGCAAATAATTGACTTGAACAAGTCAGTCTAGTCACTTGGGAGCTATTTCAAAGATACTTCAGATCCCAAAATCAACTGTGCAAAAAATGTATGAGTACAAAGTGCATGGTGTCTGTGAAGATTCTCAGTCATCCAGGTCATGGTTATTCTCACAGATTAATCGTAGCAACTGGACTTGCTTGAGTTCCTTCAAGGAACTCAAGACAGAAACGTTGCCAGGTGTAGCAACAGATTATTGTCTCATATACCTTTACTCAGAAATAACTGCTCCGCTCAGTAGGGACTCGTGGGATGTTGTCAGAGATACTAGTTTTCTTCATTGATGGTGTGTTTGCAGATGTGTAGAAAAAAACGCTCTTCAGTAAGTAGACGCAAAAGCTGGACTCTTGGCAAAGAAATGTGAAAGCGAACCTTATGATATTAGTGTTGAATGAGTCCCTTTCATCGTTGTAGTTGTTTTGCGTGGAATAACAAGCAGCGAAATGAACAGACACTGGACCAGCGGATAGGACTCAACAGAGCCTTCCTTTTTCTGTTGTGTTTTCTCAGACCTGGACCTGAGTCTGAGTCTCACTGGAACAGTTGTGAAGACGGTAGGAGATGCCTTGTCTGTGAAGACGGAGAACAGCTCGTCAGGCGATGCTAAAGTGTCGTGGACGCAGGTAATGATGCTTGTTGATAATAGAGAAGTGGCATTGAAAATAGAAGTTAAGACAGCATTTGCAAAAAAAAACAGTCTAAGGTGAGAAGAAGTGAGAATAGAAAGTAGATACCTAGATGTAACTGGTATCTTGCATTAATACATTTATGGCTTGTCATTGGTAGGGCCAGCTATGAGAACATTTGGATAAGTGAAAATGACAAAATGGATAAAAATGGGATTTGTGTGCTAATGTTGCATCTAAATTAAAGCTGCAGGCTATACTTCACTTTCGAAAAGACAGACTAACTGTGGTCCTGATTTTCAGAATGGAAAGCCAGTGAAGGAACCGGAGTTTAGCAAGTTGACCTACGCTGATGCAGGAGTTTACGTATGTGAAGCTTCCATTGATGGCCTCGTGCGACGTCAGAGCTTTGAACTGGTCGTAGAAGGTGAGTACGTGTGTGTGTCATCGTCAGCGCAATATTTTGGAGAGTTATTTTTAACATAATTTAAAAAAAAAAAACAATACCTGAGAGGTAAACCGACAGAACAAAGTGTTGGAGACACCTTTCGTACAGTACATCTACCATCAAGCACATTTCTCTTTCATAAATGATGCACATTCTGTTGTCCACGACTAGCCTGGGTTCACTCAGTTTTCCTGAAAAAATCTGGAGGTCATAGCATTTTAGAAATGTGTACATCACATACAATATTGGTATGTGATAAAATATTGTTGAACCAAACTATGTCAATAAGATGTTTGTCTTTGTATCAGGAAAGCCTTCAATCACAAGCCTGAGGAAACACCGTCCTGAGGGTGCCAAATACAAAGTCCTGACCTGCGAGGCTGAGGGAGTACCAGAGCCCAGCTTCCATTGGAGCATCAATAACACAGATGTAAGTGTTGGAGTGTGAGTAGCCAGTGTGTTTAAAGCAGAGATATGTTGAGTCAGGTCGGTGGTAGAGACAAGAAAGTGCAGCAAACTGAAGCAAGAAAACAGCACAGTGCGGTATGAGGGTGGTTAAAATGTTCTTTGTTCTTCTATCAAAGTTTGCTTCCTTCCTTCTCTTTTGTACTCTTGCCTTGGGCACTTTTAGGGCCAGCCATGAGTAGAATGGCTGTCAGGGTGATTCATATTAGCCACTGTGTGGAATCTCTTCTTGTCAGCTCAACGCTCAAGACAGTGCTGTAATTTCAAAACCACATTACTCAACTCAATTTTGAAATGCAGTACGCTGTGAAACAGTAATGACAGAGAAGTGTGAGAATGGGTGAAGAAATGAGAAAGATATGACTTTGATCTGTCTTCATATTGTGATTAGTCCAGTATGTATAAATATGAGACGGCATCTTCACAAAGCTCCGGTTTCACTTTTTCTTGTGATGTACTCATGAACTCGTCATTCTCACAAGTTTGTGAGTAATTCAAACATGAGTCATGGGTGCGGAGGTGGATGCACAGATTGTAGCTACAGCTAAATTTGAAAGTAATTCAAAGTTGGTGGGAAGGTGAAGTTGTGCGCTGTCGTTTGATATGTGCCTGTCGGCTCTCGGGTAATAAAAGGGGACGGCTTGTGCTCAGATTTCTTTGACTAATTTCTGCTTTTATTTCTCGCTTCGTCACACAGAGCTCTTTAAAGTGTTGCACCCAGGCTGTGTGATCAGGACAGAATTGTTTTAGCAGCAGTTGTGAATTACAATATGTGAAATGCCCACAGTCAGCTACTGAAACCATAATTAGTGGCAGTTGAGTGTGACTAGCTTCTGCTCTTAAAGTTATTGAATCCTTCTGTTAAACAGGTGATAAATGGGGACATTCTCCTCACAGTCTCACAATACATAGTAGGAATACTAGTCTGCAACAGCAATAAATGCCGCTGAAAGTACCTGAAAATGCGTTTTTAGATAATCCTGCATGTTTTTAATGCTTTTTTTAAAAAAAAAATTTATCATTAAGAGATTTTCCTAAATCATTAAGGTACTTTCAGTCCAAGAGAATAAACACTCAAAATCACAAAATCAATATGTTTTGTGATAAACTACCCAGGTCTCATCATAAGCAATGGTCTAATAACAAGGTAGCCTTTCTCTGTCAGGTTCAGGTTGGTAAAGGAAGAGGATTTTTGTATCTGCTTCTAAATTCAGATTGATTTCACAGTTTGAGTTTGCTGTCAGAAATCCCAGCAAGTCACCAGAACTCAGCTCCCCTGTCTGATGTTGACTTTTGCTGTATTTTCCCCACCGTCAACTGTCCCCTCCACTATTCTCCACAACATAGAAAATGTTATGTACAACTAAAGAGGCTCCTACATTTGCAAGCTTTTCCCCAGATATTTCTGAAGCCTCTTATTCTTGTTCATGTCTTTTTGCTGTGCATCCAGGAGAAGAGCACGTACATCAACGGGAAGGCCATCCATACAATCACTGTGATCCCCAAGGTGAACCTGACTGTCACCTGCAACGTCAGCAACAAGCTGGGAGAAGATATCATGTCAATCAGTGTTTCCTCTAGTAAGTTAATGCTTGTCCACTAGTTTGTTGGTTGGCTCTATTTTATGCCATTGTGGGAAGTGAGAGAAGCGCATTAAAGCCTCTGCGTGGAGTCTCCATGTTCTCCCCGTGCAGCGTGGGTTCTCTCCGGGTTCTCCGGCTTCCTCCCACAAGGTCCAAAAACATGCTGAGGTTAATTGGTGATTCTAAATTGTCCGTAGGTGTGAATGTGAGTGTGAGGATTGAGGTGTATAGATAGTGGATGGATGGACACATACACAGTGCTTAACAAATGCATTAGACCACCACTCAGTGTAAGGTTTATGCCACAGCTACCCTAAATAAACATTAATTGGTAATTACCAAAATCATTTGTTATGTTTCTGTAATGGTTAATGCACCAGTATGTAGAAGCTTTTTAGCAAAAATGATATTTTTAATGCTAAAATATAATTATTATTGTTATCTATGAATTTTCAAATTTACTGTTAAACTGAAGAAATAGCAAAACGCATTATTATTTTTTTGGTTAAGATGTCAAATTGTAGTTGTTTACCTACATTCCTGAACAGAAAAATGAGTTTTAGAGGTTGAATATGATGCTTGATTCATTTCTGACGTCTCAGAGAAGTCCAGTGAAGCGGCTCAGATTTGGCCATAGAAAGGTGAATTCAGTTTCAAATTCCTCATTTCTGTTCAAAATGGTAAACCGTGGAGAGCTGAGTGCAAATTAAAGCACTTTATGATGCTGGATGGTCTATGTATACACACAGTGCTTAACAAATTACACAGGTGGTCTCATGCATTTGTTAAGTTATGCATACGTTTTGTTTGACTTGTGTTTAGTATATTTTGTTTGAGTTCTAATTTATTTATGTTTGGTTTCAGTTTTTGAGGAACACGAACGAAGAGGTAAGATTTCATTTTCCTTTGCCTTTATATTTTATTATTATTCAAACATGTTATCCTAGCCCTGTGGTAATACTGGTATCATGGCAAGTTTAATGTGTTTAATCTGATTCTGTTGAGTCTCGTTGGATTCTCTGACTGGGAACTCAGTGAACAGTTCAATTTTACTCATGTAGCACAGTCCACAGCAAGTGTCATCTCGTAGCGCTTAACATAGTAAGGTGAAGACCTTACAAATACCTCTGCTGGTCTGTTGGAGGAACACACCAGCCACCATCTCCTCCCCAAAAATATCCAACATGTCAGAATCTAAACAACTCAACTCAGTGGTTTGTTGTCGCTATAGTAACAGAAAGTAAGTGATGAAGTCAGAAACCCTAAACTACTTCAACAGAGGCAAGTTTGAACAACCGATGAAAATTTGGTCTCTGTAGTGCAGGCTAAGCTAAATTGTTGGAAGTATATGGAGATGGAAGTGTTTCATCACAGCCTTTCATGACACCTTCCAGCCTTCCACTGAATGTCTTCACATGGTCTGTTTGTTGGAAAGCTTCTTGTGTGGGTTTGGTGTGGTAGCCCCACAGGTGACGCATAGTGCGGCTGTCTGTTTATAGAATCTGGAGGGGATTCGGGAGACCAGTCGAAGCTCATCGTGGGTGTCGTGGTAGCGCTCCTTGTAGTTGCTGCTGTAGGGGGACTCATCTACTGGATCTACATAAAGAGAAGGTATCGAAACGCACACCTGAGAGCACGTACATTTTACCTTTAAATGTCAAGTTCTCGTTGACGTTCCAGCTGCGTTGCTCCTAACTCACACTGCATTTTAAACAAAACAACAACAACAAAAAGAATTTGTATCCTAGAGAGTAAATTTGGAATAATAATCAGCAGGTAGAGTTGCAGCAACAGTATCTCTGACAACAGACTGAACAAGTACTTCTGTCTGCCCAAAAAAGATTACATATGTCAGCGAGTTACTGATAAGCAACTGGTACGAAGTGAGTCTGTAGCCTGACTGTGCTGTGAGTCACCCCACGTCACGATTTTACAATTCTGCATTCATCACAGGCAAGGAAGTTGGACAACCGGTGAGAAGGAAGTTGGAACAGCTGAGGAGAACAAGAAGCTCGAGGACAACAATGTTTAAAAGGCACTAAGGCTCTACTACATGGATGAAAGAGGTAAGAAGTAGGACGTCTACACGCACACACACAGGCCTGTGTTATGTTAAATAGTTGGACTTGTGGCCCATGTGGCCCTTTTGCTGTCTCAAGGAAAATGTCTCTCTCCTTTAAGTAATAACCTCTAATGTGTGTCGCCTTGGTGCAGCCTTTGCCTGAGCTACCTGAATGAAGTCACTGCATTCCATTGAGTGTTTACTGTTTAGGTTCCGCATCAAATGTGTAGTATTGTATACAGACCTGTTGCTACTACTACCTTGTGAAGGTGCGTGCTTAATAAAGCCGAGACTGACAAGGTAAAAATGACTTTGTTGCCTGCAAGCAACACTGTCAGTGACAATGGCTGAGGTGACAAAATATTAAACTGCAGCTGACAAACTGTGACTGTTTGACAGTTCACCTGTCTGAGATGAAGAGATGTTCACAGTGTGACCTGCTGTTAGGTCCTGACTGAACCTTTGTCCGTGTCGGGTTCATTTATAGTTGAACCTAATTCATGAAGTTATTACTGTTGCTCCGTTCATAAATGCGCGCTGCTCTCTCTTGTGGATCTTACTGCTGTCTGATGCTCCATCCATCCATCCATCCATCCATCCATCCATCCATTTCTTCTGCTTAGTCGCGTAGAGAGCTGGCTAAGCTGGTCATTCCAGACGCCTCTCTCCCACCAACGTTTTCCAGGCAGGATGAGATATGAAATCCCTCCAGCGGGTTTTGGGTCTATCCCGTGGTCTCCTCCCAGTTGAACGTGCCGTAAAACCTCCAAAGGAAGCCGCCCAGGAGGCATCCGAATCCAATGCCTGAACCACCTCAGCTGGCTCATTTCAACACGAAGGAGCAGCGACTCTACTCTGAACTCTCTTTGGATGTCCAAACTGAACCCAGCCACCCGATGGAGGACACTCAGTTCAACCACTGATATCTGCGATCTCGTTCTTTCACTACCCAGAGCTCATGACCATAGGGGAGAGCTGGGATGTAGATTGGCTAGTAAATTGAGAGCGTTGCCTTCCTGCTCAGCTTCCTCTTCACCACGACATCCTGGTACGTCGACACATCACTGCTGATGCTGCACCAATCTGTCCGTCCATGTCACCATGGCTTGAGGCATGCCACTAGTGCATGATTCAAATGATTTTTTTTTTTTTTTTTTTTTAATGTAGCGCCAATTCAGAACGTGTCACCTCATCACACTTCACATAGTGAGGTGAAGTAATTATGAATTTTAACCAAAGAACAGAGAACCCAACAATCCAAAGTTGCCTTTGGATTCCTTATGAGCAAGCAGTCGGCAATAGTGGGAAGGAACCAACAGAAACTCTGACAGAGCCAGGCTCAGGGAAGCTGTCCATCTGCCTCGACTGGTTGGGCTGAGAGTGGGGATGGAGGATATGAGGCGGGGTTGGGGTGGAGATAGCAGGACAGATGTACTACTGATGACTTGTCCTCTAGGTCCATCATCAGCACCACTGGCCTACACTTTGCTTTATGACCAAACACCTGCAACATATATTATGTTCCCATCAGTCTCAGCTAGACTTTGTTACACTTGTTAGCTTGCTAACACAGCAACTAAGCTGATAAACCTGCTTTACATCAGCACCTTAACATCATCCGACAACACACAGATAGACCTCCCGCTGAGACCTGCTGAAAGCCGAGCTGCTGTTTTAACGATATAAACTGTTGGATGGCTCAAAACTATTGACAATTAAACAACTCCAAATCTGAAATTCTACCTCTCAACTCTCCAAACCCCCACAACAGCCTCACCACCAATGTCCTCGGTCCACTGTCCACAAATGCAAAGTCCACTGCTAGAAATCTAGGCGTCCTACTTGACTCTGACCTCAGTTTCACCCCCACATCAACAAAGTCATCCAGTCCTGCTTCCTCCAGATAAGAACCATGTCTAAAATCAAATCAGTCCTCGATCAGTCAGACAGACCTTGAAGAAATCCTCCATGCCCTCATTTTTTCCCCGTCTTGATTATTGTAAGTCTCTCTTATCTGGCGTTCCACAGAAATCCTTCTCCCGCCTCCAGCTGGTCCAGAACTCAGCAGCTGGACTTCTTACTGGTTTTAACAGGCGACATCACATCTCCCCTGTTCTGGCTTCTCTTCACTGGCTCCCTGTCCTGTTTTAGAATTGATTTTAAGATTTTACTTTTACTTTTAAAGCTCGCCAGCGCCTTAGATCCTCAGGTGGGTCCCTCCTGATTGTCCCAAAGTCGAGGCTTAAATCTGAGGGTGACCGGGCCTTTTCTGTCAGGGCCCCTCGGCTTTGGAACGACCTACCTGAGGAGATAAGGCTCGCTGGATCAGTAACTTCTTTTAAATCACTTCTTAAAACCCACTTTTATAGACTCGCCTTCAAGTGAAGTTCTCTTTTATTTCTCTTTTATCACTCTCTGCCCTTTTATCCACATTAAATGTTTACTGCTTACAGTCCCTCTGTCCAACCTCCTGATCTCAATCTGTTTTTTATCTTTGATTTCTCTTCAGTTTCTCTCTTGATCCTCTTGTGTGATGTCGTCCTTTTTAACCAGCTTTAACTAGCTTTCCATTCTGTACATTTTCATTTTTATTGTGTGTATTTACATGTGTTTGCATGCACTTTTTATTGTTTTTACCTGTGTTTGCCCCGTCCTGCCTGATATTTTACATGTATTTTATGTTCTACATGTCAAAGTACTTTGTGAATTGTTGTTGTTAAAGGTGCTACACAAATAAAGTTATTATTGTTGTTGTTGTTGTTGTATTTCTGTATGCTACCACCTATCAGCTTGTGTACTGGTATGCAGAGTTCTCTCCCATTATACAGCTGAAACCAGACACTGTATAAAAACACACACAACATTTGTTTCTCACTGTCTAACATTAAATGTGACTAAACTTGTCCTGTCTACGGTCAGTCAGGATTACCAACATTATTTCTATTTGCTAAATGCCAGAATAATGAGAGAGAGAACTTTTAGGGAGTTTTTTATTACTTTCTTCAAAGTCTTTAGTTTACATACATTTCCTTAGTATCTGGCAGCTTTGCTACCAAATTGCTAAACTGTACAACTTTGGGTCAAACGTTTTGGGTTTCCTTCCACAAGCTTGTCACAATAGTTTGGTGAATTCTGGCCCATTCCTCCTGACAGAACTGGTGGAACTGAGTCAGGTTTGTTGGCCTCCACACGCCTTTTCAGCTCTGCCCACTAATTTTCTCCAGGACTGAGATCAGGGCTTTGTGATGGCCGGTCCACAACACTGACTTTGTTGTCCTGAAGCCTCTCTGTAACTAATCTGTTTAGAGTCATCGTCCATCTGAAGACCCATTAGTGCCCAAGCTTTAACTTCCTGATAATGTCTGGAGATGTTGCTTCAGTATTTCCACATTATGTTCCTTCCTCATGATGACATCTATTTTTTGAAGTGCACCAGTTCCTCCTGCAGCAAAACACCCCTACAGCATGATGCTGCCACCCCCGTGCTTCACAGTTGGGATGGTGTTCTCAGGCTTCAAGCTTCTTCCCCCTTTTTCCTCCAAATGTAACGATGGTCATTAAGGCCAAACAGTTCAGTTTTAGTTTCATCAGACTACAGGACATGTCTTCTTCCTCTCTGAGTACCTTTCAGCTCATGTCGGTACAGGACTGGTTTCACTGTGGATAATGACTCTCTCTTACCAGCTTCAGCAGCATCTCCAAACGGGCTTTAGCTTTTGTTCTGGGGCTGATATGCACATTTCTCACCAAAACACTTCCCCAAGGTCCACAATTCTCTTCCTGATATCTTGACTGATTTCTTTAGATTTCTCATGTTGTCACCAAAGGAAGCAGCGTGTTTGAGATGTGCCTTAAAATACATCCACAGGTGTGCCTCCAGTTAACTCACATGTTGTCAATTAACCAATCAAAACCTTCCAAAGCCAGGACATCATCATCTGGGCTTTCCCAAATAGTTTGAAGGCATCTTAGTGTATGTAAACTTCTGACTTTGAAGGAAGCAATAAAAAATTATCTCTCATTATTCTGTCATTTAGCAAATAGAAATGATTTTGGTAATCCTGAATGACCTGAAACAGGAAAAGTTTAGTCTGATTTAATGTCAGACAGTGAGAAAAAAAAGGTTATATATGTTTTTATTCAGTGTATGTAAACTTGTGGTTTCAACTGTGTGTGATCCTCATGTTTCTTGCCAAACACACACATATGTTAATGTCACCAGTGTCATCACGTTTAACAGGCTGATGGTAAAAAAACTAAGAACTCATTTGTAATAAACTCATACTTTCTGTCAAGATGATTAAATTTGTGTTTTTAAAATCTTTGAAATGATTGCTAATGACTGCTTTTCTCTGTCCGTCTCTTTGGGGAAGAAGCAGTTGGAAGCAGCATTGCAGACTCCAGTTGGCGGCTGAAGCGCTTCATCAGGCTCCACATAGACGGCAACAGTCAGAACCGTTTTCCAGCACGTCCAGCCGTCAGTCTGCTGTCCCACCTCACTTTCTGAAATCTGCATAAAGGCGGCCTTGTGCTGCTGTGTCACAGGTTTTTGTGTTCTTGGTAAGTTCTCCCTGTTATGTTTTTTTTTTTTTGTCATGAGGCTGTATGGAGGGGTTTCTTTGTTACTTAGTTTTTTCATTTTTTGTTTTGTTTTCTTGAATTTCTTCGAAGAATGTAAATTTCTTTTTCACCTTTTAAGGCCTTTGTAACTAATTATGTGTGTGCTCTGGCTGTAAAGCAACTCTTCCTCATTATTAACCAAAGAACCAAACTGACTGCGTTGTGTTGATGATAATGAAAGCATTGTGGAGCGTTGTGGCCCACGCCAAGGACTTTATATTTCATTTATGTTGCAAAGGATAATCAGAAAAGATAAGACTAAAAAGTATAACAACAAAAAATGCACAAAGATGTTCTGTTGTGGTGTCTACACTGAAATGATGTTTTTTTTCCTCATTTAAAAAAAGCTTTACTTGTGCCAGGGCTGACTTCTCAGTTTTGTTGTTTGTTTGTTTGTTCCATGTGTTTTTGACGTATTTATATCCTGTGTGCAACCTACTTGGATGGCTGTGATGCAACATGAAAGACAATTCTTTATTTTTTTTTTCCTTTTTTTTTTATTCCTGTAAAGAAGCCATCATGTGATGTTGAAATAGCGCCGTATAGTAGAAATGAGGGTGAATAAGGCTGTACGGTATCTATGCTAATTTTCTGCTGTATTATCATGTTGTCGTTTTGGCTCAGTGGCGTAAACCCAAACTGAAGACAGTGGATTGGCTGATTAGATAAGGTGCATAAAGATGGTTGCCCTCCGGGTTTTTCTGGTTTGTCCCACAGCCAGTAAAGCTTTGATAAGACACCAGTTTTTTTTCATGACTTTCGATTTAACGATTTAATTAGTGAAAGAAGGCAGCATGAAAAGGCCATAGTAGTGTTGTAAATACAGGCTTTGTTTTGTACTGTTGTTGACAATAAAGTGTACATTTTGAGAAAAAAAAGTTATGCCAAAGGATTTTTCATAATATTAATAATTCACTGTGTGTGTTGGAACATGTTGTTTCTGAAACACTGGACGTCATAAGAATGGGCAAAAAAAAACCAACACTATATTTATACGCACAGATGCACAGTACCATTAAGTTTTTCCTTTCTGGAGTCATGTTTGAATAGTCAAGAAGACAATTAGTCAGATTTATACTGTTTCACAAATAATTGTATTCACATGGCGCTTCAGCAAAATCTCACACCAGGAAAACTGTTTTTGGCAACCGAGCAGTGACACAGTCAATGGTCTGGACTCATANGATGAGATATGAAATCCCTCCAGCGGGTTTTGGGTCCAACCCGTGGTCTCCTCCCAGTTGAACGTGCCGTAAAACCTCCAAAGGAAGCCGCCCAGGAGGCATCCAAATCTGATGCCTGAACCACCTCAGCTGGCTCATTTCAACACGAAGGAGCAGCGACTCTACTCTGAACTCTCTTTGGATGTCCGAGCTGAACCCAGCCACCTGATGGAGGACACTCAGTTCAACCACTGATATCTGCGATCTCGTTCACTACCCAGAGCTCATGACCATAGGGGAGAATTGGGATGTAGATTGGCTAGTAAATTGAGAGCGTTGCCTTCCTGCTCAGCTCCCTCTTCACCACGACATCCTGGTACGTCGACACATCACTGCTGATGCTGCACCAATCTGTCCGTCCATGTCACCATGGCTTGAGGCATGCCACTAGTGCATGATTCAAATGATTTTTTTTTTTTTTTTTTTTAATGTAGCGCCAATTCAGAACGTGTCACCTCATCACACTTCACATAGTGAGGTGAAGTAATTATGAATTTTAACCAAAGAACAGAGAACCCAACAATCCAAAGTTGCCTTTGGATTCCTTATGAGCAAGCAGTCGGCAATAGTGGGAAGGAACCGACAGAAACTCTGACAGAACCAGGCTCAGGGAAGCTGTCCATCTGCCTCGACTGGTTGGGCTGAGAGTGGGGATGGAGGATATGAGGCGGGGTTGGGGTGGAGATAGCAGGACAGATGTACTACTGATGACTTGTCCTCTCGGTCCATCATCAGCACCACTGGCCAACACTTTGCTTTATGACCAAACACCTGCAACATATATTATGTTCCCATCAGTCTCAGCTAGACTTTGTTACACGTGTTAGCTTGCTAACACAGCAACTAAGCTGATAAACCTGCTTTACATCAGCACCTTAACATCATCCGACAACACACAGATAGACCTCCCGCTGAGACCTGCTGAAAGCCGAGCTGCTGTTTTAACGATATAAACTGTTGGATGGCTCAAAACTATTGACAATTAAACAACTCCAAATCTGAAATTCTACCTCTCAACTCTCCAAACCCCCACAACAGCCTCACCACCAATGTCCTCGGTCCACTGTCCACAAATGCAAAGTCCACTGCTAGAAATCTAGGCGTCCTACTTGACTCTGACCTCAGTTTCATCCCCACATCAACAAAGTCATCCAGTCCTGCTTCCTCCAGATAAGAACCATGTCTAAAATCAAATCAGTCCTCGATCAGTCAGACAGACCTTGAAGAAATCCTCCATGCCCTCATTTTTTCCCCGTCTTGATTATTGTAAGTCTCTCTTATCTGGCGTTCCACAGAAATCCTTCTCCCGCCTCCAGCTGGTCCAGAACTCAGCAGCTGGACTTCTTACTGGTTTTAACAGGCGACATCACATCTCCCCTGTTCTGGCTTCTCTTCACTGGCTCCCTGTCCTGTTTTAGAATTGATTTTAAGATTTTACTTTTACTTTTAAAGCTCGCCAGGGCCTTAGATCCTCAGGTGGGTCCCTCCTGATTGTCCCAAAGTCGAGGCTTAAATCTGAGGGTGACCGGGCCTTTTCTGTCAGGGTCCCTCGGCTTTGGAACGACCTACCTGAGGAGATAAGGCTCGCTGGATCAGTAACTTCTTTTAAATCACTTCTTAAAACCCACTTTTATAGACTCGCCTTCAAGTGAAGTTCTCTTTTATTTCTCTTTTATCACTCTCTGCCCTTTTATCCACGTTAAATGTTTACTGCTTACAGTCCCTCTGTCCAACCTCCTGATCTCAATCTGTTTTTTTATCTTTGATTTCTCTTCAGTTTCTCTCTTGATCCTCTTGTGTGATGTCGTCCTTTTTAACCAGCTTTAACTAGCTTTCCATTCTGTACATTTTCATTTTTATTGTGTGTATTTACATGTGTTTGCATGCACTTTTTATTGTTTTTACCTGTGTTTGCCC